AACCATGACCATATATAGGTACATCATGACTATATATGGGCATACAACAGGTTTTTTTTTTTGTCAAAAGAATATTTTATACTCTGGACAGAACTTTAAGGGAAAAAAAATAATTATAACATTAACAAATTATATTATATAATTTTTAAAAATTTTTTTACTCAATTTTAGATTTATTTTAACTAAAGACGCTATAAACAATATTTTAATGTATAACTTTAGGTACAGGTAGACTATATGCTTTTTAAAGTTTTTAATAATGTTTTAACATACTTTGAAGTATATAAGCCTTTTCACTATCTGTCACTATTTTAATTGTATTTTAACACTATGTCCATATTGACCTGTTTAAACTGTACATCAGGCATTTCTCTTGTATTAACATATGATGGCTGAATAAAGTATTGAATTGAAATAATTATAAGTTTTTAACTATATTACTGTACATTATGCTGAAAATAATAATGGTAATGATAATTAGAATAATAACAACAATAATGCAATGAATGATTTCCTTTTATGAGGTAATTATATTGTAAACATTTTTCCTTTTTTAATGTACTTATTTTGTAAACATTTTTCTCAATTTAGTTCTGTGGACTGCCATGAAAATGTGTTTTGTTGTGTTATTATTAAGATACTGTACCTTGATATATTATTAACAAAACATTCTTGAAGTACTATATTATAATTGTTATTTCCTCCATCACCCTCCCCTCCACAATGCACAGAGACATTCATTAATCAATACTTAAAAATGGTAAGTAGGCCTATGAAAAACTGAATGCATCAATGTAATTTAAACAAGCTTCAGCGATGACAATAATTGAATATTGTGATATATGTCTACGTTTGCAGTCAATGACAATTCATCGATCTGCTACAGCGAACACTCTTCAAAAATACAGACATATTTTCCGGTAAGCCGTGAAGTTGATCGAGATCAAATCGCTACGTCAGAGGCACGACAAAGTGATTCGACGTGTCCTTGGATTTTGATGCATCATCTTCACGTCGTCCAGATCCAGATTTCGAGACAATTCTGTTTTTTCATGGTATTTTATATTTTCTGTAATCATTCTGCAATCGTGGTTGGGGATACATATGGTAAGATATCATGTCTAGTGCTTCTTTTATTTGTGGCAAAGACAAGCCAAACCAGTCACTCATCACAGAAATTGATTTTTAGTTTAAAGATGAAAATGAGAGCTATAAAATGGTTTAAAAAAATTATTTAAATCCGACATTTCCTTTATAAGTTACAAGCATTTAAACATACAGCTGTTTTTAAAAGAACAATATTTGAGAAATCAGCCTTCAAAGTTTATGTCAGGAATTTCTGAGGCACAAACCATTGCTAAATTGTTAAAAATTATCGTTTTAACATTGAAAATGGGGAAAATACCAGCATGTAGTATACAGGTTAGTTTTAGTGCAATAAAATAGATTTCAAAATTTTTGATATTTCAGCAGGTTTTGGCCATTATCTCTGAAATATGATTTGCAAAAAAAATGCCCTCATTCTCCTTTTTCAAAATATTAGGACAAGAAACTACTTCTTTTTTTTTTATTGGCCTAAATGCCAAATGATAAATCTGTGCTACGTAAGAACAGGCCTAGCACAGTGTAAAATATTACAGGTCAATAATATTAGGCCAAATAACATTTATTTTTAGTTTCACATCCGAGGATTTAAATTATTTTTTGGTGAGGGAATTCAGTATTCAACTTATTGTCATTTGTAAAATTCATTTTTATAGAAAAACCAGCCCATGAAATCTGGAGAAAATTAGGTCGGCAAAAATTTGCCGACCTTAAATTCTCCGAGGTCAGCAGCCTCGGCAATTTTCTACTACCTAGGCCTATATAGTATAAACTACAATTTTTCCAAACGCTCGACCTTACATCATCATCTACAGATTGTGATTTTGCTAATTTCTCTATTAAATTAATATATTGCTGGTGAAAGAATGGTCGTACTTGTATTAATTTAATAGTGTAGTATAAAACATATGTTTTACATAAGAAAATCGCCGAATAAATTTCGTTTTAGCGTTCGTTATATCATTATCTATGGCATGGGAAATATAACTTTCATAAATGCTACGATCGTATCATCACAGGCTGCTTCAAAACTGCCCATGCATGTCCATGCGCATGCCCAGAATGATCTATCAGGGATATTCCACACATGTATTGTATAGTTGTCAGTAGTGAAGTCACAATGCGATCGTGATTGCGTTTAAACGGACGGTAGGATTAGGCTACAATATGTTGAATTTTAATTTTCAGATAATAAACAACATTTTAAATATGATAATACTGTAAAATGAAGACAAATAATCGATTTAGATAAGCATTACAATTTACGCTGGCACACGTGGCTTCAATTGTTCAATGTAGTAGGCCTTGGCTGGCTAGCATCATTCCTACCTAGGCCTAGCCTACGAAACAACTAGGTGAGAAAGACGATGATTGTACACAAATCGCACATACTGCATGCGTATTAGAAATAGTTATTGTACAAACAAATCTGTTTTATAAACCAACAATTTCCTTGGTTTGACGACGTACATGAAATTTAGTGTCTGTTATAGCCTGTTTCAATCAAAGTTTTTGACTTTCCTAGCAGTTTTCGAAGCAAAGAAATATAGGCCTAGGTCGGCAAAAAATTGCCGTCCTGTAGCAATTCTGGCTCGGTAATATGGTCGGCAATTGCCGATTGCCGATGTGAAATTCATGGGCTGGAAAACAATTGCAAGAAGGGTCTGCTCGTAAATAATAACTAGGTAACAATGCAACAATATCAAATAAACTATCCCCCCATATACACCATTCCATTCAAGTATTTCTGAAATCTGAATCAAGACACCATCCCGATATTTCTGAATCAAGGTTTCAGGGCTTGAAAATTGAGATTGTGATTGTAAATGTTGAAAAAATGTTTTCTCATAATTTAAAAATCTTTAATTTTGGCTTAGATCTACTATAGCAGTATGATGTTCAAGTAGATTATTTAATCAAAATCTGATGACAGCTTGTTGTTACAATTTTAGCACCAATTAATAATGGTAATTCCTGACTCAGCATAGCCACAGGTTTTAATTAACTTAGCTCTGCACTTATCACAAATTAAATATTCCACAACAATGAAATTGAATGGGTACATTATTCATTAAGCTATGCCACAGACTGCACATTTTGCTACTGTAATACCGTATGTACAAATATTTCAACTGTATTTTTTATGTCTTCATTCATTTTTTTCTTCTGTTGCAAAGATATTACTTAAGAATATACTGTATGCAAAAGCTAAAAAGACAAGACTGCAAATTTGCCAGGATTCTCATCCATGAATAGGGTCATATTATGACAGTAATGACAATCATATGGCATCTGGTAAGAAAAAAGAATTATTGAATAGTAATATTTGTAGGCCTACTGTACACTAACAATGTACATTGTCAAGAGCAATGATCAATTCTTTCAACAGCCACAAGTTCGGAATTGCAATTAATTACCAAATCCCCTCTGGTATTGCAAACTCTCATTATGTAATGCTCAAATGTTACTATGGATACATAAAATTTTTTATTAATTTCCAAATCACTATGGCAATATCGAGCAAACATTATTTTCATCATTTTATTCAATCCAAGAATAGGAAACGGAGTAATTATGCTACATATCACAGGAAACAAAATACTATGGACTATTTAATTGTACAGAAGGTAAAAATATAACTATGTATGTATGTTTAGATAACTTGAAAAAAAAAACTAGCATAATTACTATTACATTTTGAAGGCTTCTATCACAGGGATATTTATACCTCTTACATAAAGAGACTTAACTTATTGTTTCTTCTCATTTTACAAGCACATTGTAAACTTGACTGTCAATGCTATGTCAAAATGTGACTGTCAATGCTATGTTAGAAAAATTTCTAAAATTTTTAAGAGTTTGAAATTACCATGTGTTTCCATTTGCAAATTTTTACTGTGAAAAGGAGTAGAGTAACCCTCTATACAGTAGTTTACATTTCCTGAAAGGAAATTCAATGGGAAATTCAAATATGGTGAGAAATTAATGGTAGGGTGAAAGCGGGGTGAGATATGAATCTTGGAAAAATGTTATGTGTGTGATCCTCACCCTACCCCATTTTTTATGCCATATTTGAAATCCTCATTCTTTCAGAAAATGTACACTTTTGTTAAGGTGGGGTTTGGCTCAAAGCCAAATCTGATGCACATACACAGCTTGCTATGCAGAATTTATACTAATTTATACTATTTAAGATACTGACCATACTCAGCTACTATACACCAAAATATCACATGAATACCATTTATTAATTTATACACAGCTAAATCCCTATTCCAATGATAATTTAATTTGGTCTTTTCAGTATTTTTACTCATTTAGTGGGACTAATTTGCTGCCATGGGCTTACGCCACTGATCTCTACTATAATAGCTGAATTGCTCATTTTCCAATCATTGTACAGAAAAAAGTGAAGCCACCAATGCCATGTTAAATGGGCCTAAGTGACACTAGTTCCTTTTGGCATTTGTTTAAATTATTGTTAAAAATAACGATTCTTCTTGCAATACTTTTTAATAATATATTAAAATTTAATGCAAGGATTTTTTTCAAATCACCTAACCACCAGATGTGACTGTTTATTCAGTCTACAAAAGCATGAGCAAAGTCGCTTTGTTATAGTGACGTTGATCACTAACCATGCAATATACTTCGCTTTTTTAAACTGCATTACTTTACATTTATTATTATGATATTTTTAATAAGTATTGCAAGAATCGTTATTTTTAACAAATAATTTAAACAAATTTCAAAAGAAACTTGTCTAAACTGGTACGTCATTTAGGACCCCAACATGGCGTCAGCGGCTTCACTAACACCAGCCACTGGGCAATCCAGCTATCAGTGGCCTACGCCCATGAATATTAAGAAAAACAAAAATAAGATAAGTAACTCACTTCACTCAGTTTATCAGGCTTCATATTGTCTGTTAGATAGTCGAATAGTTTTGTTTGTATATCTCTTGCCCATTCTTGTACCCTACAGCAAAAAAATAAAAATAAAGTCAACTCATCAACAATTGTACTACCGTATTGATTTGAATAAATGTCTACCTTTGAATAAGTGCCACCCTCGAATAAACACCCCCTCCAGACAGAGCCTCAATATGCCCCGGCATTTATTTCTTTCTGAAATAAACAGCACCGCCCACCCACACAAATGACTGTAAACAAAACTAATGGAAGCAACACCAATCTGAACACATTCTAATGTTACGGTTAGAAAAAATGTAATTCCGCTGGAGAAGAACATTTGATAGACTCTGTTGATAATTTTATGTTTCTTCCATTAATAGTCATTGTGGGAGAGGGGGGCATTTACTCGAGTAGAAAATACAAGCCTTGGGCCATTTCAATATTCAAGGGAGAAATTTATTCCAAATGACGCTATGGTCATATAATGTTAACCAATTTTATTTGTGTTGATGTGGAGTGTGAATGGCTCTTTAAATTTATTCATAAATCATTTTTATTCTAAATAGTGTGTTTGAATACACTTTCTATCTAGACGATTACAGTGTTTACTAAAGACCTTTTTTAATATACAGTACTACAGTACTATACGATAATGAGGTCAATGTTTCAACCACTTTAAACTCACATTTTAATCTTGTCTTGATTTTCTGGGCCTTTTTGTTGATAGAATTAAGTATAACTTAATGTAAACAAACACTGATAAACCAACACCTTTGACTAAATTTAAACTTTTCTTGTGCATACATTTTACATTAACATATCCCAATAATGAACCTCCCAATTATGAACTCTCGATTTTACAAACCCAATTTGCGGCGATGACGCCATTAAGAACGATCGTTTTTAACTACAAAAACACTTAAAATTTCATTTAAAAGTCTTCAAAAACAATATAAAATGTTATATTAGCTAAGAAAGAAACATTTAAACCACTAAAGTGACATAAAACTAAGTTTAAAGCAAGAAATATCGATCAACATCCAGGGACAAGATATATTTCATTTGAGCCAAAGGTGGACATAAAAATCGGTCGGAGGGACAAAGTGAACTTTTGATTTAACACCAAGGGCCGCACCCAAACTTTGATGTTTCAGTGGGCTTCTAAAAACCTCCAATCACTGCTTTTACATCACTTTTATTTTCAGTTTTAATGTTACTTTTTACATATTATTAGTGTTGGGCAGTAAAAAAAAACAAGGTGTTTTCTAGCCAATTTTGATTGGCGGGCCGCAAACATAGGGTTTTTAATTCATTGTCGCGGGCCGCAAAAATATCGCTGGGGGGGCCGCACGCGGCCCGCAGGCCGCACTTTGCCCGTCTGTGATTTACGCTGTCCCTGCTTGTTCAGGCATACTGTACAGTAGAGGCCTGTTTATACTTCAACAATAACAATAATGATAAAAAAGCTAAAAAGCGATTGTTCATATAAACAAAAGAAATAAGAGAAGTTTTTACACTAGGACAATTCAATAACGATTTATCGTGTATACGAAAACAAAATATTTTTTTAAATCAAAAAAGATGACGTCATAATCATGGAAAAACAATAAAATCATTGCTACTTAGTCTACGATTTTAATGTTTTTCCATGATTATGACGTCATCTGATTTGATTTGTCAAAATATGTTGTTATCGCATAATTGATAAATCATTATTGAATCATTCTAGTCCGGCAAAAGATATTTCCCAGCCCTTAAAAGTATGATTATATGGAAAAATACCGTAGCCAGGATTGTCAAACTGTGCAGTTCAATATCATAAAAATAGATAAAATAGATAAAAATTCAGTTTTTTTTATTTCAGATTGCAATGTGATGACATCACGAAGTCCGATCAGCCATTATGATCTATAAAATCATATTTACAAGTCATGCTTTAAGAAGTAATAAAAATTGGGGGTCACCTTTTATCCTAAGCAGCTACGACTGATTGAAAATAGGCATGATTTTGGCAAATTTTCAGTGTTTGTCGACAAAAACGTGCACAAGGATTCATATCTTTGATGCGCGCGTACGGCATTGCTATTGGCTATTAAGGTGACTGAAAAAGAATGGAAATTTGTGATTACAGTGTCAGAAACCCAAAACATGTAAAAAAAAAGAAATTTCCAGCTTCCGTACATGCGGGTGCGAAAAATTTGAAAATTGTTGAAATGCTCAAAATGGACTGAAACGTGCTCTAATTTAGTCAAAAGTGATTTTGAGCATTTTAAAATTTTGACGCACACATACGCGCACGTTATGGCGTGCACATGTAAAATTCAGGTACATGACATTCAACTTTAACCTGAAGTTTATGCTCACTAAATATGATTTCGAAATGGCAATTGGTTGAGATGATATGATCGATAATGTAAAAACGCAGAATTGCGCTTTTTACATCACGCATGAGTGGTCATACTGAAAAGCTTATTGTGACTAATCCAGGCCAAGCCAAATGTTCCTTGAAACTGCCATGTGCGTAAAAGATCTCTGACAATAACAAGAGGTGATCCGTTCTGTGAAGCGGATCACTAAAAATTGTGTGGTTCACAATTTTATTTTTAATATCGTCTATTAAATAAATCAAAATTTAATTTGCAAAAATTCACAACAGTACATTCTATGAATATTTGTAGAAAAATAAAAAGTAAAATAAAAATAAGAATATCTACACTGTATGTTATCAAAACTCACTCTACATTTTAAATTTTGCAGATGAGATCATCTCTCTAATTTATAGATTAGAACTCCCTGTTAAAAATAAGAATTTATACCACTCTACAAGACCAATGAATTTTGCTGATCTTTGAAATGGTTCTACACCAAAATTGTATTCATTATATTGTTGCAATTCAATAGTGAGAAAATTTACATAACAGTGGTAATATGTCAATTGAATAATTTATGAGATCCAACTAATGAATTCATAAAAATAGCTGGTAGGCAGCCTGGCACAAGGATGTTGACACCAAATTTAACCTGAATCAGTTAAAGACTCTGATTTAACCATGGGTGAGCACGGAGGTGGGGGTAGGTAGAGGAAAAATAATGTCGGTGGATTGGGCTACAGCGGGGGTAGGTAAAAATTGAAGGAAGGACCAATGTGAATTTTTTTATTTAACACTGAGGGCATCACAAAAGTTTATAGACGTTTTACGGTGAAAATTTGAGGTTTTGGGAGTTACTAATTACTTTTTACACTTGATTGGCATTTGACAGTAACAGCAAGGGTTGTTCTTTCTAGCCGCGGTTTTAGGCGGGCCGTGCACATGAGGTTTTTTAAATTTACATGGTAGCCAAAATAGTATATTTTCACTTAAAAATTACAAAAAAAGAAACAAGCATATTTTTTTACGATTTCCATCTATCATTTAATATGTTTCACTTCGAAAACATGAAATATTTACAAAAAGATGGTATGACTCTATACCAGGCTCATTTGCCATGCACTGTACTGTATACACAAATTATGATATTGCATAATGTTTGTGAATCCTAATACAATAATAATAATGAATTATGCATGACTATTCATGCATTGTACTGAAACTGGTGAATGTTCAACTAAAAAAAAAACTAGCCTTGGGAGCAGGTTGAGCATACTAATTAGTATAGCCATTGAGATATAATTATTTTGATTAGCCTACTACTACTACTACTACTACTACTACTACTGTCTGTAGTACAGTCAGTAGGCTAGCCTATACTCGTGCAATTTGTTTGAAATGCAGTACATCTATTTTCTTAATTTTTCCTCAACCTTTCTAGATATCAAGAGATGACACACACATTATCTTTCGATCTATTCTACTGAAAAACATAGTTATTGGGCGAAGGAAAAGACAATGCATCAAGAGTACAGACACACAACACTACTCAACTGCAGTGCTGTTTACTAATTCTTCAAAGATAATTATGCATTAACGTATGGCTAACACTATCATCAGTGCACACTGACAGCAAAGCCATCAAAGACAATCGATGATGATAATGAGCCGATGTTGGTCAGCCTAGGAAATCTTCATCGAATACTTGACAATATGAGACAAATGAAAACAAAAAAAACGTTTACTTACTGATCTAATGGCGGTATGACTGACTCTGATGAACAACTTCCAACTACGCAAAATATAAAAAGATAAATAACAGCCCAATACGATGCCATTTTAAGCACTGCGTTCTCAACATCTATAAACATTCCGCTATCAACATCGCGGACAGAATCTTCTCAACGATGTATACAGTACCTTTTTTTATCAATCGTCTTAAATAGCGCCCTCTTTCATTGTTTTGCAAGATGTGCACGATCCATTACACAAATTTTGTGTAAAGAGAGACGTACCGGTACCCGTACCTACCGTAAAGCCTCGAATTGAAGCTCAATTGGCTTAATCTCGAGAAAAAGCCCATCGCAAATTGAATCCCCCTCTTTAGTTTGCAAAATTAGGCTCGAAAAGAAGTCTATGGGCTTCTTTTCAAGATAGTATGGAATTATTTTCGAGATAGTACATACTGTACATGAATTTCAAAGAAACAAATTAAATTAAAAAGACGCTGGTTTCAATACAGTACGGTAGTATAATACTATACTAGACTATAATAGTCTATAGGTGTTTTAATTAATGTCGGTTATACACTCCATGATACAGATTGATGTTACAGTGGTACTACTTATTGTTTTATATCGGTAATTCAGAAAACTTACAGCATTCATTTTGAAAAGAAGCCCTCCATTTACTTTTTTTTGTCTTTCGTGGGTGTTTCCCACCTTTATTGTCATTCCATGTAAATTCTGTATATTAATAATACGTTCTCCAATGTATTATACACAATTCTTATTTATATACATGCACAGTATCTTACAAATTTGACATAGTACTCATGCTTATATACAATTAAAATGACTGATAAAATTAATTAGATCAATTCTATCAAGCATATGATTTCACTGGAATATATTTTTTTTTTTCATTCTTCCCTTCTGTAAACATATAAATCTTTTTTTGAAAAGCCCTCTATTTACTTTGCAAAAGTAGCCTCGAAAAAGAAGCCCGTCGGAAAATAATAATATTACTAATACTGTAATAATAATAATAATAATAATAATAATAATAATAATAATAATAATAATAATAATAATAATAATAATAATAATAATAATAATAATAATAATAATAATAATAATAATACACGTTTTATAAGCTAATTAACATTCGACGGCTGGTCTTGTTCGGATGTGAATAATACTTTTATTTGTGTAGGCAATGACTAGAAATCGAATAAAAGCTCATAAACATTAAAATGAAAGTTAATATGTCATCTGGTATTATAACAATTGTTGCTCTACCCGCTGATGCCCATGTTGCAGCTGCTACTGTCGCTACAGGAGTTGATCACTTCGTTCCAGTATGAATCTGCGAGATTTTCCCATTCGGTATTTGAACCCGGGACATTTCTGTCTATGCAGACATCCACCAACTGGTTTGAGACTTTCGTTGGAAGCTGGAATCCGATTGGAGGCAATTCAGTTCGCGCTCCATACGGTATGCCAAGGAGGTTATGCCAATACAATACATCTATTTGAAGCTTAAACAGAGACCAATGTGATAAGCCCTCCTGTTAAGTGTCTAAAAACGACAAGACGAGATCTCCGAAGAGATACATTATTATAAGAAATGAAATCTCTTCTCGTCTTGCAAGTTGCAATAATACTTTATAAATATATGATGCTTAAAAAGAGGGCGAGATTGTGGGTTCCATTCGAACCAGAGACCACTTTTTCATATACAACTTATATAAGAAACTTTTCGTTGATGAACTATGTTTGATTTTACATCATGTTCCTTTCTATATAGGCCTATTTGAGCAATGTATTATTATCTATTTTAGTTATACATTGTGTTTTCAGTGCTAAGCAGCAAAACAACTGATTTATATACTATCCCCATGCCACTTTTACAATTGTCAGTACTGCTCATTTAGTTTCTAAGTTGCCTTCCTTACTGCCACTGTTTATTGTCTATAATTAGGCCTATCACCAATTTGTTTATCATCAACTTGTTTATAAGGTCTGATGATACCTATTGTTATTATAATTAAGTCATCATGATGAACTCTGACCCGATATGCCAACTTGTACGTTAATAAATTAGTCATGCTGAAGAGGACCTGAGGACAGGTTGAAATATTATTGTTTTAATAAAATAGTGTTCTAAAGTCTACTCCGTTTCCTGTTTTTCTTTCTTCTTTATTTTCCATATGAACACACGTGGACTCCTCTTCATGTATATATCTGTCTCTTATACACATCTAGATGTGTATAAGAGACAGAGCTACATCTCCACTACATCGTATAATTTATATGTTCATGCATTTGGTGATAATGTACTTAAAGATGAATATTAACATTGGCCATGGGAATAATATTTTCTCTCTTTCTTTTGTTTTTGTTTTTTTCAGGCTAACAGAAGATGATGTGAAGGAAGATTGTGTAATTCCTCTCAAGTTTGTGAAGCTACAGAATGTGAATAATTTAACAGTAAGCTATCCACGCTCTGTATACCAACTAGAACGTAAAGTTATACTACACTTAAAAGCCTACAGCCTATTGCTTACAGTTGCTCTGTCAGCAAATAAGCGGTTTTTTTCTGGAAACGCTTAATCACTGACCATGCCGACTACTGGCTATTACCAGGCCTAGGAAATAGAAAACCTCTAACTCAACCCTTTACTAGGCCTACCTTGATAGGATTGTTCGTACATGTAGTGTACTTTTTTCCTAAAATTACCATTCATTTTACTGTATTATTAAGCTGATGACATTAAGTGAATTTGTCTTATGATTGGTCAATGCTTATGATTTGTCGCTGACGAATTGTGAAGAAATTTTCTGCTGATTCACCGTTAACAAATCAGGGAGCTTTTCCGATTGTCTCTGAGACAGCTACAGTATGTATTCGACAATTGCTGTCGACAATG